TTTGAAGGCTCCAAGATTCCTCCTACTACCGCTAATGCTATCATTCCATCATATGCACTGCTTGAACTACACAAGGTTACTTGGGCTGTTTAGAAAAGATGGAAAAATGAGGCATCGTGTCTTCTCTTTGTCAGTACATTGTTAAAGGATTATAGACAATCTTCCATTGTTCCACAGATCCCTGCTTTCTGTTACAAGACAGTGCCTGTTTGTGAATGGAGATTTTCTATGAAGTTCTGTCTAAGCTTTGGCCAGGGCTGAAGAAGGGGCAGCTCCTCACATCCAGCCTGAAGGGTGGAGTGGCAGGGCGGTTAGCCAGAGTTCAGTCCTCTGTCAAAGAGCTTACTATGCTATTATTCGTTACTTCTATATACAAAGGGACTTCAATTAGCTGTATGCTGTCTGAGACAAGAGAGCCTTTATAAGCTTCAAAATGGCCTACAAGTAGTGTTTCTGTTCCTTCACTAATGTGTGGGACTCTCCCTCCCATGGGATATACAACAGCTATTGTGATATTCAAGAGAGCTGTATATGAATTCTACCTGGAGCCCTGCTTTTAAATGGGGTATTTATAAAACTAGCCATATTATAGACTGCTAGCCAGTTTATAGACCACTCAAGTTTGTCTCAAGAAACAAGGTAAGGTGTCTTTCAAAAGATAATTCAGATTGAACTCTGTGGGTGCTGTATTACTTTCAAGCTATGTAAAGTAAGGAAAAGGGCGATGAAACCATGGCAGGAAATGATCTCTAAAGCAGCGGTGCTGACACAAAATGACTGCATGCACACATACTGAGGGAGGTGAAACTTGCTCCTGTCTGAGAAAGGACAAGGCTCTGGAAAGAAATCCTGCAGGCAGGACATCTCCCGTAAATGTACGGGGAGAAAGAAGAATCACAGAGTAACAGAATCAGCTAGGTTGGAAAGGACCTCCGAGATCACTGAGTCCAACCTTTGACCTAACACCACCTTGCTTACTAGACCACGGCACTAAGTGCCACATCCAGTCTCTTCTTAAATACCTCCAGGGACAGTGACTCCATCACCTCCCTGGGCAGCCCATTCCAATGCCCAGTCACTCTTTCTGTAAAGAACTTCGTAATGTCTAACCTAAACCTCCCCTGGCACAGTTTAACACCGTGTCCTCTTGTCCTGTTGCTGGTTGCCTGGGAAAAGAAACCAATACCCACCTCACTACAACCTCCTTTCAGGTAGTTGTAGAGGTCTCCCCTGAGCCTCCTCTTCTCCAGGCTAAACACCACCAGCTCCCTCAGCCTCTCCTCATAGGACTTGCGCTTGAGTCCCTTCACCAGCCTCATTGCCCTTCTTTGGACCTGCTCCAGCACCTCAATATCCTTCCTAAACTGAGGAGCCTCGAACTGGACACAGTACTTGAAGCGCGGCCTAACCAGTGCCGAATACAGGGGAAGAATCACTTCCCTGGTCCTGCTGGCCACACTGTTCCTGATACAGGCCAGGATGCCATTGGCCTTCTTGGCCACCTGGGCACACTGCTGGCTCATGTTCAGCTTCCTGTCAATCCAAACTCCCAGGCCCCTTTCTACCTGGCTGCTCTCCAGCCACTCTGTGCTCAGCCTGTAGCGCTGCATGAGGTTGTTGTGACCAAAGTGCAGGACCTGGCACTTGGCCTTGCTGAACTTTGTACCACTGGATTCAGCCCATCTATCCAGCCTGTCCAGGTCCCTCTGAAGAGCCCTCCTATCCTCCAGCTGATCGACCCTCCCCCCCAACTTGGTGTCATCTGCAAATTTGCTGATGGTGGACTCAATCCCCTCATCTAAATCATCAGTAAAGATATTAAACAGGACTGGGCCCAACACTGATCCTGGAGGGACACCACTAGTGACTGGATGCCAACTGGATGCAGCACCGTTCACCACCACTCTCTGGACCTGACCGTCAGCCAGTTCGTAACCCAGCAGAGTGCCCTTGTGCAAGCCATGGGCTGCCAGCTTTTCCAGGAGTATGCTATGGGAGATGGTGTTAAAGGCTTTGCTGAAGTCCAGGTAGACTATATCCACAGCCTTCCCCTCACCCACCAGGCAGGTTACCTGGTCATAAGGCGATCAGGTTGGTCAGGCAGGAGCTGCCCCTCTTAAGTCCATGCTGGCTGGATCTGATCCCCTGTCTGTCCTGTAGATGCCGTGTGATTGCACTCAAGATGATCTGCTCTATAACCTTGCCAGGCACCAAGGTCAGGCTGACAGGCCTGTAGTTTCCTTGGGTTAGGGCATAGTTTATGAAAGGGAGACAGATACATAACACCACTTAACTGATTTTGCCTAGCAAAGTGTTTTAACCTGGAAAGAAAATTAAGATTTCTAGGGATAACAGAGCACCATTTTATACAGGGTTTTATAAGGCTTTATTAAAGATCGTGCCCTTCAATAAATAGTTTAAAAATCAGATGCATTCAAGAGACAAAGTACAAAGTTTACAAGAATAACTTAAGAAAGAACACATAATTTTATCATTGGACTGGATGTCATTGCAGTTCTTGACTACAGAATATAAAAACCCATGTATTGTTCTTTTAAAATGTATACTTTTGTGCTTTTCTAAACCCACAGCAGAATCCCTTGGTAAGTGCTAACTACACTGAATGCTATTCTCCACAAGGAAATGGGGAGGAAATAAGACAGTAATATATCCAGATAATTGGTAACCAGGTTACAGCATCCTCACTACTAATGTGGAAAGCAGATAAGCAGCAAAGCTGAGATGCAGCACAAAGCAATTTTGAACTCAGGGGTGATCTGAACTGAGACAAAAGGGGCAATAATCTTAATGGCAGAATTGGTCCATGACTCTAAACGCCTTAATCTGTTGAAAATTTCCAAAGAAATCTGATAAAAGTCCCAAGTTTTGCCAAAAAAAAAAAGACCACATAAACATTTAAGAGAGGAGCAAGGCTGCAAAGAAAAGTACTAAAAACTGGGGCTTTTAAGAATGCTTGCAAAATGCACGCTGTTAAAGTCACCTTTATTGCATGTGCATTAAAGCAGTTTCAACCACCAGAACAGCTACTTCTGTTCCCTTCAGATTCTTGGCCTCATTCAACATACAAAACACAACACTCTTGGCTCTGAGCATGAATTAGGGATTGGTAGCAGAAATAATAAGTAGTAGTCTTCTTCACTTCTTGCTAAAGTCAGACGGCACCAAAACAAGTAGATACAATAAATACTTACAGTAGATACAGGCAATAAATAAGAAGAATAGTGAAGGTAAAAGAGAGAAAATTAAAATAATACTTAAAGTAGGTTTCTAATTTGCCTCTGACAATAGAAGTTTCTGTGCTCTGGTGGGAAAGTCACCCAATCAACAATCCTTCAAGATGCTTGCTAACAGTGAATTGCATGTTTTCTAGCTGACCCACCTCATACACCTTTAACCTTAGTGTCAAAGTACATGATGTTTCCAGATAAAAGACAAGCCATAAGGAGATGAGCACTTAACTTGCAGCATTCAGTGCACCTTGAGCCTCATGTTTAAAGGGGCATTCTAAGGGAGAATTGTCTCCTTTGGTCTAAGCTAGAGTAATTGTTTTCAGTTTTCCATTAAGTGAGTATCTAAACCCAACAAATGAGAGATTACACATTCAGAATAAAGGAGGAGAATCAAAATAGAGAAATACACTGAAAGCCAAAAGTTTTTCCAGGGCAAGTCCTAACTCTTAGCAACATTGATGGAAACCATTTAACAAGAAGGTGTTCAGTAGATTAACCTGTAATTGATTTGCTGAAGCTGTCCTCAGGAGGATACCTACCACTATTATTTAGGAGTTGGGAGAGTAAAGGGAAAAGCCACAGCAACTGAACCATAAAGAGATGTCTTGAAATGTGTAGATGATTTTTTATTACTAAAGATAATTTTATTCTGTATTGATATTATTTGATTTTGACAACTATTAAATGAGGCAAATTAAACAGGAGAGTTGGTTTGGGGTTTTTTTTAAGTCAGAACTGCAACACTATTATTGCATCAAAATCCATCATCAAATTTAATGAAAACTCTACTATCAAGAACCTGTCTGAGAAGACAGTCATAGTCTAAGCAATAAAACTATATCTATACATAAATTTTCACTTTAAAATCTTCTACTGCATAAAATTTAAATGAATGTCTGTGATTTTTATTCAGATTTTAAACAAATTAGTTGGCTTCCTTCTATGTCCAGCACTTTCTATGCAAACTCTGGAAATACTTTTTTCTTTTAAATCTTAGTGTTTTCAAATAATTTTGCACAAAAAAGGTTACAGGTAGCAGCTTAGCTGCTATTTTTAGCAGCAAAGAGTTAAGGCCTCAAAAATAATCCTTTATGAATAAAATTCACAGCTGGATCATATTAAATCTTTAACCATATAATCATCTGCTAACAAGTACTTTTCCAAGCTTGCACTTTTACAAACTGTATTGTGGCAAATAACCCCTCCAGAACATTCATTCCTTTGATTAGGGATCTCCTTCACTTGAGCAGGCGAAGCTCTCTTGTCAGCTTCACTTGCCTGGAGAGATGGCAAGAAGGATATCACCCCTTGTTCCTCAGAGGGAGACAAAACCTACTTAAAATCACACGGAACTCAAGTCTCCTGACAGTACTATTTCAACATTATCAAATATCAGCAGAGAGATCGTGGAACACTGAAACCATGCAAACAGATCAAGAGAAGAGCAGGATTTCCTCTTGGTGCTGTGATGCAGCTGCCTAATTGCTCCACGCTGATTTTGGACACCGAATGTGAACATGGGACTCCCTGTTGGCAATTAAACACTGGACAGCATTAAATCTTTCTTGGATAATTCTTCATTATTTACTTCTTTTTGGTATGATTAAAATAGAACTGCTAAAATCTGTTTCTCTGACTTACACGTCTAAATTCACCATTTATATGTCCCATTTATAAACCACTGTTTGTGTTTGTTGCCTATATACACAGTTCATTTTCACATTATTTAGGAAGTAGGGAGTATCTTACCAGGAATGGTTCTGTACAGCTCAGATGGGCTGCTGACCTTTTGGCTGGAGAGAATCCGCTGATGGTATAGTGGAGGTGTTGTCACTAAGGGAGAAGGAAAAGGGCAATTCCTCTTCAGTAACAGCTAAAATGTTAATAGTGATATTAAAATAAATAAATAGAGACAGACATTTTCTTACCATATGTCATCTCTGGTGACAGGGAAAAAACTGGCATGGATGCGACAGATTCACTTCCGTTTTTTGTTGTGGAGATTTCTACACCTATTTCATCTTGATAACTTACAGCAACCATCTAAGAAAAGGCACAAAAAAGCAAAATTATGGTGTGAAAATTCTCACTTAACCCTACGACACAGTGGGGCATTCTTCATCAAATTACAGAAGGTTTCTGTAATCAAATATAATAGGATCTACTGTTCCAGCAGAGAGATCTTGGAACACTGAAAAACATGCAAACACACAGAATAGACAAGATCAGGATATCCTTAAACACTGAATTGCATTTCTGAGGTAACTGCAGTCATTTGTTCTTCTTGCCATGATACAACTGCCCAATTGCCTCACACTGATTTTGGACACTGAACATGAACATGGGACTTTCTATTGGCCATTCACTTCAGTAAGTATTTCTTGAAAAATTCTTCATTGTTTACCTCCTTGGTCTCCTCTAGAGCAACTGGTGATCCTAGAATTATGGCCTCATCAGTAGCAGGAGACGTCATCCATCCACACCTGTTACACGATGGCTGCCCAGGGACATCATTGTCATACTGCCCAACACTTAACTTTCTCATCCTTTTCCCTGTTGCACCATCATCTCGCATACCTGTTGCAGAAAATAAAAAGGCAAGCTGATTAAGAAACTGGGTTTTTTTCCAGTTAGAGATGTTAAAACAAACTTTAATATTTTGCCTGTAGTGATTCTATTCAAGAATGCTCATGAAATAACTGTTTTACAAAAACCATATAAGTGGGGGAAAATATCAGTTGTACTTAGCCTTGCTGACACCAGCTTGAACATATTCACAGTGCCCTTGATTCTAGAGGAGTCAGTCAAGCAGCACGTTTCCGCTGACGCTCATTTTTGAAGCTGCATCCCCAGTGCCATCGGTAGAGCTTGCCAGCAGGGGCCGCTACGGGAGCTCCAATGGGAAACCTCTCTTGCCACTCCTGACCCGCAGCGCCTCTGGGCAGAAAAGCCATTGCTGCGGTCCAGGACTGCGTTCTCCCCAACCATCCCTCCCCCCCACCCCTCCAGTTTCTTTTTAGCTAAAACAGACCCTGGCCCTTATAAACTCAGCTCATTGTACGCCTTTTGTGACTCACATGACAACCATACAATCACAAAAATTAGGTGTTAGATACACGTAGAAGCTGTAACTCTTCTGAGGAACAGCACAGAAGAGTAAGTCGAGCCAGCAGAACCAACCAGGATATTCAAGGGCATAAAGCAGTATTTGTTTCCAAACTCACTATTAAGAGCATGTCATTAGATACAGGCTTATGATTAGCAGTACTTTATACTTGGTCATCCCCTCCAAACAGCAGGCACTTCCAGAACATTCCTGCAGCAACTGCCTATTCTACCCTTCTTTGTAACAGTAAGGATCCCACAACAGTCCTTACTGTGTAGTCACAGGACAGTGCAAAAATAACCATATGCATAGCTACTATTCAAATACTCCTCTGAGACCTTTTATTGTCTATACATGCAAAAAGCTCTTTAAGAATTAGCTGTTTCTCTTAAAAGAGCTGAAGATTTCTAAAAGAACTTACTTGAATTGCCTGGTGTCATTTAAACCCTTACAATCATTTTCAACTGTAAATATGTGTTGGCGAAGCACATCTCCTACACACCCTGATCATGGTGCCATAACAGTAGGAATCCAAAGTGTGTCCTTCATCTAAACCAGCGGGCTGAACTGGACTTTGGTAGAGAAAGACAATAGCATACACCTTACACACACATCCATTCTGTACAGAAGCCAAGGTAGAAAGTCTAGCATGCAGCATAAGTATTTGTATTATAGACATTTCACCTTGATTACACAGCACAATTATAGAGCAACTATGCACAAATATGCTTCTGTATAGGAGAACAGTTTTTATTCAAGATTGAAACAGAGGGATTTCAGACTAAAACCTATGGTACTTAAATGATTCTGCAGACATACATATGTATCAAACTAAGTAACTTGCTGGCAAGTAGTGGTTTATCCTAAAAATATTAATAAATCTCTTGCAAAACTACTGGATTAGACACATCAAAAAAAATCCAGCTCTGCTAGCATCAAAGCCAGTATGATCGTAACTACTTTATTAACCAACTAACTAACTAAATGAAACCCTGTCAGTCACCCTCAGCAATAGGGTTAAAGTTCAGGGTCCAAATTTAGCTAGTTATTTATTTTATTGAGTCAACATTTACACACCTAGCACATTTTAGAAAATACATAGCTGAGATTCAGTTTTTATGGTGCAACTTTGAAAACTAAAATACTTTTTAAGCATCCATATTGTAAACATCTATTTAACTCTTCTTCCCTTGACTTGAAACTTTGTGTGATCTTTCATGTATGGAAAGAGTATCTTCTGAAGACACTGTGAGCAAACTAAATGTATGGCTCAAGATCTTCTAAGCCAGAAAGGGACATGAAATATCAAATACCTTCCAAACCTCTTAAATGATGCTAAAAAGTCATGATGATTTTTACTGAAATTGAAGACACTTAGGAATATAGACTGAGTTCATCATGGCTAGGCTTCGCGAATGAAGATTTGGGAAGGCTCTATCCATGTTTGTTACAAGCACGCTGGTGCTAATGAGGCCAATACAAGATAGACATATCCGATTGCAAAAGGCACAGCAGAAAGACTCCTTAGGTGGTATATTCTGCAAGGCATGATTCTTTCTGTGTTGTCTTTTCTCCTCGAGAGTGATCCTGCGTGCATTCTCAAAGGAAACAGCAGCATTATAGATGGTGTGTCTCCAGGTCTCCCGATTGGAGGCCAGAGTAGACCAGTTATGTTGATCAATATGGTCAAGGTTGAGATGTTTCAGGGAGTCCTTGTATCTTTTCTTTGGGGCTCCTCTCTTGCGGCAGCCGGTGGCAAGCTCACCATAAAGCATGATCTTCGGGAGGCGGTGGTCCTTCATCCTTGAGACGTGCCCTGCCCAGCGCAGCTGTGTTCTCAGCAACATGGCCTCAATGCTTGTGACTGCTGCTTGTTCTAGAACAGATGTATTGGTCACATAATCTGACCAGTGGATATTTAGGATTGTACAGAAGCAGTGTTGATAGAAGTGTTCTAGGAGATGCAGGTGGTGGCAGTAGACGACCCATGATTCAGAACCATATAAGAGAGTAGACAGCACTATGGTTTTGTAGACACTGATCTTGGTACTTTTCTTCAACTGTTTATTACACCATACTCTTTTATGGAGTTTTCCAAAAGCACTATATGCCTTTGCTAACCTGTTGTCTATCTCCCCGTCAATCTTACCATCCAAGGAGATGAGACTGCTTAGGTAATTAAACTGCTGGACTGATTTGAGCTCTGATTGGCCAATGGTGATATGAGGATGATGGAAGACTTCCTGAGGTGCAGGTTGATAGAGAACTTCTGTCTTCTTAAAACTGACTTCCAGCCCAAAGAGCTCAGCAGTGTCTGCAAAGCAGGATGTTAAACGCTGCAGAGCTGCTTCTGTGTGGGCGACAAGGGCGGCGTCATCAGCATAGAGCAGCTCCCGGACAAGATGGTTTAAGGTCTTGGTGTGGGCCTTCAGTCACCTGAGGTTAAAAAGGCTTCCGACAGTACAGTATCAAATGTAGATACCGTCCTGATCCTCGAGATCTGCCGTGGCCCTTTGGAGCATCATGCATACTACTCCAGAATTTACCAACTTTTTGTATTGAATTTCTTTTTTTTATTTGTAAGTTCGTAAAGAAAAATGAGTGTGAATCACTGTGCAGAATCTCAGACCATCTGAGACCAGACACTCCCAGTCCCACCGCTCCTCCACAGGAGGCAATGGGAAGCAGGAACAGCACAGAAGAGCTTTCACTCAATTTGTAACCAAGTTAATGAGGTACAGACAATTTATTTTGGAATACATCTCTCTTAGTTAACACAGCCTCATAGACTACTTTATGAGAGAGAATGTCCACCTTTTGAATAGGTCAAAACAGACCCTAAAATTAAATGCAAATTTTGCTTGTCACACTAATGAAAGGACTTCATCATCAATGGTATTGATACACTCATGTCATTAGTATTCATACACTTGTATGAAGCTTGTAATTTCTACAAAGTTAATGTAGTCCCCAGAAATCTGGCTACGAACAGGTATCTCAGAGAAAATGGATATTTTCCTTAAATAGACTGGAAGTGCATAATATATCAAATTCCCAGCAGATGCTGGACAATAGAGGGGAGAAGTTGAGCTGATATATTAAAATAAAGCTTAAAGCAACTAAATATAAGAGATTAAGTGAGGAAGTGAGCAAAAAAATACTTTCACTTAGTTTATTAGTTTCAAAAATGTACTTCAGAGTAGCCTCATTTATTGTAACAGAGTTACCAATTTAAAAGGCATCTTTTATAGTGTAAAGTGTCAGGAACCAAGACTTCCTAGAAGCTACATCATTCGTTTTTGTTCTTATAATTTAGCTTAAATTTTTGGCAGAGCTTCATAAATACCTCAGGAGCACACATTTACTTCTTTTCTTGAATGCACGTGAACTGCAAAAGAAATCTTGTTTTTCCTGAAGAACAAATTATAACATTTCAAAAGACTGGCATCAGAACAACACTGGCCATTTATCTTGTCAAATGGTTATCACTATGCCAATGCTACAGCTAACAGAAGCATGGCCAGTGGTTAAAGGTTAATTGTTGTTTAAAGGTTAAGTGTTGTTTCTTTAGCTGCTTAGCTTTCCTGGACTACTGTTGAGAGGTATTTATAGCTATTAGAAAGAAAACAACACTAAGCTTAAAATCTTGTCTACGGCGGCATGCCAATAACAGTACTCTATCTCATATACTAGCAGTTGTCCCAGCTAAATTACAAAACAAATTACATTACCTCTTGATGTGTTATACATGCTTGTATTTACCAAGTGCATTAAAAAGGTCCACATTTACTCTCAGTTACCACAACAACTACCAAGATGATGCCTACATGTTTTCACTTGATTCACAAGGCTTGTGGGCTAGCCTCAAAACCAGCTTTATGTGAGAGCAGAGCAAGCACAGCATACGTGGCAGAACTCTCTGTGAAGAACTTTTCTTGTGGAGGTATCAAAAGAAACTGGGTTGATAGCCCTTCTACCCATCATGGAAGTCCTAATCATTTGTAAAACAGAACTATCAGTCTTTTCCAAAGCCCAGCATGGTGCATTGAAGGCATTCCCTTAACTTCTACACTAGGAGTGTGTATCACAGCTAACTGTGCAAATTAAAGTCAAACTGGAGCAGATAATTACAAAACAAAGTTCAAAAGAAATATAAAAGTTTCAGCATCTTGTTGTTTACCCCTCTATAAGAGGCTCTAAATCACATAAGGATGTTGTGCACGGAGCAGTTTTAATGATCTGAATACTACTGCAGGCCACTCAACTACCCTTCTATACCTCTGCATTGTTCTTCTTGATAGAGGAAGTTTTTTGCTTTTTAAACAAAGCGATATATTACAGAAAAGACTTTTAAAACTGTATAAATAATCTCATTCAAACTGCTTGGGGCAGGGGTGTGTGTCACCCCTCAGCCTCCTCCTCCTTGAACTAGACAAACCCAGCTTCCTCAGCCACTCCTCGCAGGACATCCCTTCCA